GAGCGCAAGGCCTCCTGCTCCCCGAGCCCTTCCTCCTGGAAGGGTTCCCCGTTTGCTTTTCCTGACTCTGTCCCACCCTTGACTGTGCCCGAGGTCTGAGCCCCCCGCGTGTGTGGGGTGCAGGCCACCGCTCTCACAGCCCCCAGCCGTTCCCTGGGGCCCCCTCCCCTCAGACCCCACGGCTGCCAGCCCCCCTCGGCCAGGTCCCCAGGAGCGACCTGCGACTCCGTGTTCCCTGTCCTGACAGACACCCGCTCACCCAGATTCTGGCACCCGACCCCCCACAGGGAATGGGTGGCTTTCCTGAGGGACAAGGCGGCGTCCAGGCACCAGGGACCGATGGCATGTGAAGAAGTATAAATTCCAGGGGCACCAGGGCTCCCCCAGGCGTGTCCGTGTGCACACGTGTGCGCAGGCGTGTCGTGGACACATGAGCGTTGCCTCTGCTCGTCGTCCCCGAGGCCTCCCATGTTACTGACATCACATTCAGCCCGGACGTCCGAGTGCTGCTCCGGGCAGGAGTCCGGCCGTTGGGCGAGAAGGCCCCTCTCCAGGCAGCTGCCGCCGGAGGAGCGAGTCTGAGGACATGCCCACCCCGGGCACAAGCGTCCACCTGCTGGTAGAGGCCCGGAAGGCGGTGCCTGGCACCTACGTGGCCGGGACCCAGTGAGGGAGCAGCACCCACACTCCCGGCCGCAGTGTGGGGGGCAGGGTAGGGTGGGGGCAGGAGGGCCAGGTAGCAGGACACGCGCTCACCATGTGACAGGAGGGCGCTAGGCGGCAGTGGACCGGGGTGTGACTGCAGCAGAGGTTGGGGTGAGGCGGGGGTGCAACGTGTGCCCAGGAAGGCGGACCTGGGGGCCCACAGCTCCTGCCCCAGAGTCTGACCCTGGTGGGCCAGGTCCCGCCCCACAGTGCGCCCTCTGCTGGTCGGCCCCTCACTTCCCGCTCAGGACTTTGCAGGCCCCCACCCCCACCCCCAGGCTTGCACCCAAAGTGGATGAGGACGGACTTAGGTGCTTTATTAAGGACCACACTCGGGGTTCCGACGCCCACAGTCACAGGGTCAGAGCCCCTCCCAGCGTGTCTGGGTCTCCCTCCTCCTGCCTGTCCCTTCCCAGCCCAGCCGGCGGGGAGGGACCCGGCCACATGTGTCTCCTGCGCCGGTCTGAGCGGTGATAGATGGGATGGGGACAAAACCTAGGGCAGCGAGGGCCTGGGTGCACCTGCTGACCTGCCGGGCCGGGACCCAGGCCCAGACCCCCCGGAACTCCCTGGGAAACTCCGACTAGGACACCCGACCCTCCAAACTCGGTGGCCGCTGACACAGGCGAGCGTTTTTCATGGTAAAAACTTTATTAACCCATTATAAATACATGGTGAGACAGATTTCTCAAAAAGACTTTTTTTTCTTTTTTTCTGAAAACTTGATTAAAAAAATAAAGGAAAGCGAATAGGTAGGCAGTGTCTGGGGAACCTCTGGTCCGGCCAAGGGCGGCGTGTGGCTACAGGGCCTCCTCCGGGGCAGCCGCGCGGCCGTGGCCGTGGCCGATGGGGCATCTAAGACTATGCGCTCAGGTCCCATTACATCTGGACCACGATGCAGGCAACAGTGACAGTTCACGAAGGCATTTCTCTGTGAGTACGTGAGTCAGAAGGAGGGGTGATTCTGGGATCCCCAAGGCCCCTCTGGTTAGATACATGGCTACGCACATGTGTTACAGTGTGATAAGAGGACACACGGTGAGGGATGAACAGAACCTCCTTTGCCTCTGAGGATGTAGCCTCAAAAACTGCCTTGGTCTTGGAGCTGTGAGTGGAGAACACCCTTTTCTGCCGCCATCTGAGCACCGTGCCGCTGTTGGGGGGGCCTCTGAAGACAAAGGTGTGGCCTTGTCCCCCACCCCCCGCCTCACCCCCCGTCCCCGCCCTGTGGGGCCACAGCAAAGGCCGTGTCCCCGGGAGCCTGCCTGAGCCACCCACTTCTCCAGATGCCCAGGGTCTGAGCACCCTCTTGGTCATTAAAAAAAAAAAAAAAGCAAGACTCCACCTCATGGTCTCCACCCGTCCCCAAGCGGGACGGGTCACCTGAGGGCAGGAGCTCGCTACTGGGTGGAGGGGTGTGTGCCTCGGCTCCAGGCAGGTGTGTCCAGACACCCCAGGGCAGAGGTTGGTGTTCCCGGGAGGCCCAAGTGGCAGGGGTGCTAGGGTGTGAGGTCCCCAGGGCGGCCTGAGGCCCGGCCTGTGCTTGAGTTCAGAAGGAGGCTCGAAAGAAGCAACGAGAAAAATCACACGGTTTCCCTGGCGGCTGGGGCGTGGGAAGCCGCTCGAGCGCACTGTTAGAAGCCCAGGCATTTCAGAGGTCTCCTCCTACACGTGGATTTAAGAAAGAAATGGATTCACCAGAGAAAGATATATAATCGAGGCTGCAGCCAAAGCTGATCCCCGCCTTGGCAGTCTGCGGTGCGAGACCGGGGTCTGAGTTCCTCTGAACTAAAACAGAGAAAGGAACGTGCTGGTTAGCTCCTCCGGCGTCAGTCCCCACTCCCTCCCGGGGCAAAGGGCCTGCAGGACGCTAGCCATTAAAATAATATGTATTTTTGTTGACTTCCGAGAGGAAGGGAGAGGGAGAGAGAGAAACGTTAACGATGAGAGAGGATCATGGGAGGCTGCCTCCTGCACACCCCACACTGGGGATCCAGCCCACAACCGGGGCCTGTGACCGGGAATTGAACCGTGACCTCCTGGTTCAGAGGTCGATGCTCAACCCCTGGGCCACGCTGGCCGGGCTGCTGGCTATGTTCTTCCACAGTCACCCCCGAAATTAGAATTGCCTTTTCCAACTTGCAAGGAAAGAAAACACCTAAACAGGAAATTTTCTCCTGTTGACTTAAATTTGTCTTGAGGAGACGAAAGGAAACGTATTTATTCCTTTTTTCCACCAATAACTCTCTCATTTAGTCAAGGAGAAGATTGGATGTGATAGCATTCTTCAAAGTGATGGTTTTACAGCGAAAAAAGCACAGACAGACACGTCTTTAATTTAGAAACAGGTTCTTGCTCACCTGGTGTGGCTCAGGGGTTGGGCAGTGACCTGTGAACCGGGAGGTCAGGGTTTGATTGCCGGTCAGGGCCCAGGCCCGGGTTGTGGGCTGGATCCCCGGTGGGGGACATGCAGGAGGCAGCCGATCCATGGTTCTCCCTCATCACTGATGTGTCTATCTCTCTCTCCCTCTCCCTTCCTCTCTGACATCAATAAAAATATATATATTTTTTGAAACAGGTTCTTTTGAAGTTAGAGAGTTTACTGGGAAGATAAGGGCCCCGTCGGGCTTCCAGGGACCGCCTCTGAGACTGACCCGTGTGCTCAGATCCTTGGCTCTTTGCAAGAAAGATCAGTGTTTGAGACGCGGGGGCCCAGAGCCTCTGCCTGTGTGGCTGGCAGGGGCGGGGGGCAGGTCCCCCTGTGTCCCAGGTCTGTCCTCCATCTGACCCGCCGCAGCCACCCCCCTTCCGATGGAGATCCCAGCCGGGCCTAGGCTTACCCGCCAGGTCACTGGCTGTCCGCGCTGTCACAGTGCACGTCCGGTTTGCCCGGCGGGTTGTGCCCGGGGAGGGGCTGCCCGTACTTGTCCACGCACCAGCACAAGCCACGCTTCCTGCCCTTGGCCGGGCGGCACTGTGGGCGGAGCAGAGAAGGCGATGTGACCCCCAGGGACTCCCAGGCCCCGTGGGGACCAGGCTGTCCCGCCCTGGATAGCGGGAAGGTGCTGGCGCGCCTGGGTCCCTTCCTGGTTAAAGGGGAGCAGGGCAGGGGGGGGAGGGGCAGGAGGAGGGGCCCAGCTGTGGCTCCCCCTCCAGTGGGGGGGACCGAGGGCTCACCTGCTTCCTCTTGTAGAAGCCCTTCTTGTCGCAGTTGGGGAGCTGGATGCCCCGAGGGCTCAGTGTGCTCAAGGACTTGAGCCGGTTCAGCGTGTCCTCTATCTCCCGGCGGCAGGGTCCCTGGGGGGCGTGGACCGGTTACTATGAGGTCCCACCGCCCGGGCATCCCTGGGGACCTGCAGTGTCTGCGGCCTGACTCAACCATCACGGCGCCCACGGGGACACCGGCCCCACCTCTCGTGTCCCGAGAGGAGGCTCGGCTCCGGGGAGTCACCGGGACACCCGGAGGCCAGGCGCACAGGAAGAGCCGGGCTCTGAGCCTTTCCACAGCCCAGAGGCCTGAGCGCCTGGAGTCTGACCGGACCCTCGAGGCGCCCCCGGGGCAGGGCCGCCTGGTCCCTGTTCTGGGCGCCAGGAGGACTGGCAGCCGCCTCTGGGCCTGGACAGGGTGTGCCCAAGGCTCCGAGTGAAGAGCAACCTAGTGCCCTGGGCCCGCCCCGCCCCGGGGAGGCAGCGCGCTCACATATTCCGTGTCCTGTTTGCTCTCCGAGGAGAAGTTCTGGGTGACCGCGCCCTGGGCCTCGAGGTGGACCCTGTGGCGCTGGCTGTCCTTGGCGCTCCCTCTCCTGATTGCGTCCATCTTGGTGTGGCCGGGGTGGAACCTGGAGTCGGGGGCCCAGTGAGTCAGCGCCGGGCTCCCCGCGGTTACAGCGCTGAGCTCTTCCTCCGACTCACTGCCGTTTCCTGGGGGGACACGGGCCGGAGCTGAAGACCGAGCAAGGTCATGTCTCCGGGGAATCGTCACTCCACCATCCGAGCACATTCAGGAAGAACCGCTTGAGCCCGGGGTGTGGCCTGTGGCTGAGCACCAGCGCACCGACCTAGAAACCTGGAGGTCAGGGTTCGATTCCCGTCAGACAGGCCCGGGTTGCGGGCTCCATCCCCAGCGTGGGCCTGCAGGAGGCGGCCCACCCATGACTCTCTCTCATCACTGATGTTTCTCTCTCTCTGCCCCTCCCCTTTCCTCTCTGAAATCAATAAAAATATGTAAGAACAAGAAAACACCCGGATGGAGGACCACCCTCTCGCTAACAGCCCTGGCACTAGCTTTGCCTTGAGATCAGAAGAGACGAGACCAGTAGGTGCCTCGCTGGCGGCCGTCCCCCTCCACCAGGAGGGCAGAGCTGACCCTGGACGGCACCACCCCCCCCCAA